AATGTACTCTGAAACGAAATGTGGTGTGGAAGTTTCATGAGGAGGCACTTTCAAAAAGGAATATCTCGATGTATCCCTTCGCTGATATCGTGAGAGCACTGACGCATTTTTCTGCACAATCGCAACTGTCGCGGGATGAACTTCGACTCTGGAGTTGATGATCTGTGCCGACAGCTATGCGGAATTACAGCCAAGGTTGTTGTGTCTCTTTCGTACCAGTTAGCATCAACAACAACTGTGTGGTCCGTAGTTCCAGCCGTCTACTCACCTCAATCATTCTGCCATCGCAGCCTGCTTTCATAATTTCTCCTGAGAAGCTGACTATCTTGGAATCTTGTAGAAATTGCTCCTTCTGCAGTTCGTGTTTCAATTGAATGTCGTCATTTCCTGCCGGTACCACGTATAACTATAATTTCATGTATAACAAAACGCTGCTGCAAGCGAATAGGGAGGGGGGGGGGTGGGGTGACGACTCGACGGCACCTCTATGTTCCTTCCCCAGGCTTAGGTTTAGAGGACAGACGATAAGACTCTCACCGGAGGATGGTCTCGCAGAGAGGAAATGGCTGGTTTGCACTAATCTTGATTAACGGGAGGGACACAGAGGCGCTGCCCAGAGGTCACTCAAGCTAGGTTATCACAAGACTATTCCAGAGACCTTCATTGACTGCTTCATTTTTTTGTACAGCTGTAAATGCAGAACACGCAAGATTTAGAGATCATAACAGTGAAGAGGAACAAAACAGGTAGGTTTCCTGAACGGGCTCAGCGCTAACCTATGCGCGATCATCACTTGGATTTCTTCGGATTTGCCTCAATAATCGGACTTGCCTCTTCACGGAAAAATAAGTTAGTTTAAGAAATAAAGATGAGGGAAAGAAATACCTTGTAAAGTTGGTTTTGTTGGGCACAACTGTGCGCTGGAAGAGTGACTCATGGAGAGCGAGTGAGTGTCGTCGTTGGCTCTTTCGAAGAGGTAATTAGAACGTGAATGGTTCAAGTTCTCCATACTGTTTTACATCATAGTTTTGTGAAACATACCGTGAGCATACTCCGTTCGCCTGTTATCTTCTTTATTGCTGCCTTCCGACGTCTCAGCCCAGTACCCTAGTTCCACCACTTAAAAGCGGCTGAAGCAGCGGAACAGCGGAACAGCTTCTGAATGATGTTTGAAGAGGTATTTGACCTCTCTCTACCACTCGATGGCAAAAGTTCGGCAAAAGTTGGTGAGAGGGCCGTGAAAGAGGGCTGTAGCGAACAAAAAAAAATGTGGTGAGACAAGCCGTGATTGGCAAAAAAATTTACACAGCGCAATGATATGCCCTGCTTCCACACGCATCTTGTGAGCTAATAATCCTCCAAACGGCGTCCCTTGAATTCCACCTGCCTTGACCGTAAAGGGTGCTTGCATTGGTATTCTTCAAGAGAACTTTTTCTGTGCTTGAAATCTCTGTAAAATAGATGCTGGATTTGTGACACCTGATTGAAACTCATATGTTTCACGCACCACACTGGTTCCGCCCACGAAACAATACAAAACTGTGGTTGGACTTCTAGCTGAAAAAAGGAACTAAAACCATGAGCTGTTCGTCACATAGTTCCCTCTTCTTCTAGAGCGCTCTATGGCTGAATGTCTCTTCTTTTCAGTGATGGAGTGGACTTACTAAGTCCACTCCATCACTGAAAAGAAGAGACATTCAGCCATAGAGCGCTCTAGTGAGTGGAGTGAGTTACACAAGCTCCACTAATGAAGAGTATCGACGTTCATAGACGTAGCCATATCACGGTGATAGTAACCTTGACGGGGAGATCAAAGGGCTCCTCGTGAAAACTGGGATTGAGGTCATTGAATGGTATTACCTTACTTGAAGTCGATCTACCCAGGCTGAGCTCCTTCGCTGTTTCACCTTAGCCCTTGAGGCCTAGAGGAGTCCTTATCTCATTATTATCTTCCTTTAAGGAAAAATCTTGCGGTTTTACGAACACGTTCCGAAGGAGGAGCACTGTGGTCCTAATAAAAGAATTTGCGATTACTCAGAGAAGTTCGTTGTTATCGAGGTTGGAAGTAAAAGTGTACGTGCCAGTTGACTAGCCGGTGAAAAAGAGCAAAGGGAAGAGTCGAAAACGCTCAAAATCAGGCTTTTGTCGAGCTAACCGATAGAAGAAAGATGTTGTTTTGGGGCGAGAACCCAGGAGCGGGGAGAGGAAACGACCAAGACGGTCACCCCGGAATTTTGTACTGTTGGCCAGAGACTACTGCTACTGACTGCACATCGACAAGGATAACAAGGAAAAGTGAGATCCTGTGCCTGCTGCCAGGGAGTGGCCAGGAGCCCTATCAAGACTCTTCGAAGCCTGCCCAAGATAAGCCATGGAACCGTGCTTATGCCGACTTTGCGGGCGAATGTTTCTTGTCATCGCAGACGCCTACTCGAAATGGCCAGAGATCGTTGAAATGTCGACTACAACATCTACTGCTACGATCAAGGAACTTCGGAGGATATTCTCCCAATTCGGCTACCCGGAGACACTGGTCACAGACAATGGCACACAGTTCACGTCGAAGGAATTCAAGGAGTTTTGCCTCAAAGATCTTCGCTCACCACCATTCCATCCATAGTCTAATGGCCAAACGGAGCGATTTGTGGATGCGTTTGAACACACCCTTCAGAAGCTCAGAGGGGAAGGAACGACGGATGCTCTACAAACCTTCTTATTCAGCTACCGCAGAACGCCATGCCCGACATTATCCGGACGGTCGCCAGCTGAGGTTTTTCTTGGAAGATGCCTGCGCTCGACGTTTACCCTACTGAAGCCCACAGATGCAATTAGGGTAAGTAAATGTTCCACCTATCAACCTCGTGAGGCACAAAATAGCTGAAAGGACCACATATGCAGTTTTGAAACCGAGGAGAAAACAGAAGATTTTGGCTCAGTTAAAACATTATCATGGAGCAAGGTCGAGAACGATTGAGCCTGATGATCACGTATGGACCCGGGACTACCGCGATGGGCGCCCGAAATGGACGTAAGGAGTGGTGCATAGACAATGCATCCATGAAGTTCAGGTCCACGATCAACTATGGAGAAGACAAGCCAATCAGCTTCGTGCCAGTATGTGCCTGACCAATGTGACATCGCTTATGGATGCGCTTGATCTGCCACTGCTTCCATGTGTGGACAAGAACACGCCTATACCGAGATCGATGCCGAGTCAGACATGGACCGAATGCCGACGCAAGATGCCGATGTTCCAACTTCAGCCACTCGACAAGAACTGCACTCTGAACTGAGTTCAGATCAATCCGAAGAAAAAGACATACACAACTAGTGTTTGTCTTGGGAGGGAGGTGTTGGATCAGTGTGAGCCATGATTTTATCAAAAGCCAAGATCAGCCTGTGATCCTGATCAACTCCGTCCATCTTCACCGGTATATAAGGCCGGTACATTCTGTTATAAGTCTACTATTCTTCTGAAATGAAGCTTATTCGTCCGCAGCGCTCGAGGACAAACACTGGCACCGAAACAACAAAACACGAAGACAACCGAAAAGATATCAGGGCTGACATTCCGGCGGAGTCCATTTACCACCTTATGAAAACCGCCCGTACCTTATAACTTTCTGAATCGAAACATGTACAGAGTCGTTTATTGCGGTTTACTACCTCCGCTACCAAAGAGCCTATAGGTGGTCGTGGTTGGACTTCAAATTTAGATCTCCATGGATTCGCAAGCCAACACCTTCCCAGAAAAGGCGTTAAAAACTTTCAGTCTGTATAACCATATTTCAAATGCTCATTTTTACTCTATTACTGTGGACCTCTTTTTTCTTGTGCATCCGCTCGGATACAAATCATCGACAGAACGCATCACCTGTGATTGATCGCGTTACAGACATCCCAGTACACTAACATATTGATACAGTGCACTAGCAAACAATCTAGTTATTCTCCTCTCCTGTTTTGACAAAACAAGAGGATAGCTACGACTCTAGCAACCAGGATAATTCCTGGCTTGACGGTGGCTATTTCAGAGAACTAGCACAGTCGATAGAATAGTGAGATGTGGAAAAATGAGAAAGATAGTTCGAGAGAAGTTCAAAGAGTGAGGAAGCTGGAGCTCAACTTTGCTGCCATTTCACTTTATTGTTTTTGAACTACTGATCGTTATTGAGGAAAAAAGCAGGGCAGTGGTTATGGCCTCTAGCTGCTCTAAATAGGACCAGCGAGATCACCAGTTTTCACGGTGGAAGTCAACTGCCACCGTTGAAAGCCTAGGCGGGCCGGGTAGCATCCAATGGACTCTTCTGTAAACAGCTCATCAGACGGCACTTGGCAGAGCGACAGAAGTAGAGATAACAGAGGTCGCCCTTCAAAGAATATTTATGCTACAGATACCTGAGATGGGTTGGGTGGGGGCTCCGTACTCACCTTAGCAAGGCGGCGGCTGCGCTTTTGGAGGGGATGTCATCATTTTAGGATAGCTCTGATCATATCTTTGCTTGACACAAGACAACTTTATAGTTGTCTCGAAATGAAATACCTCACAAATGAACAATTCTTCACCTTTAAAAGAAGTACGCAGCTAACCCACCGTGTATCAGTGATGTGAAATGTATCAGGTGTCTGATTTCATTAGATCAGGCGTGTGGATGAGAACGAAATGAACACGTCATCTTGAAAGACATTCGCAACAAGTTGCAAATATCCACAGCTTTGGTAGTGGCTCATAAATAAATAATTGGAGCTCAGCTACCAGCATTGACCAATCCCGTATCCCACTTCCTTTCGGAAATTTAATTGCACTTCAAACGCTGCTGTACAGTGACCTAAGAGGTCCAGCTAATGAGCGAGCCAGTGTCATCATCTTCCTGAAAACTGGTACCGATTCACCTGTCTGCGGGAAGGAAGGTCCAGTTGTCTCGCCTAAAAGCAAACCCAAAACTGGCCATTCCTCGCCTCCACCGCGCCTGAATATTATCAATTAAAATCAAAAAGGCAAAAAATTTATTCCCAAAGTAATTGCTCATTCTGGCATGTTCAATTTTGGTACTCCGCAATAGCAAAAAGAGCTTTCAGTTGATTACGTCCGGAAAGACCAGCAGGTTTCTTTCGCCTTTAGTTCCATTTCCATCCATAACTGGTTAATTTGTTGCAATCAAAAATCAGTGTCATCTCCATTGATGTGGTTTTACATGATCAGTATGTACTTATGGTTAGTAATCGGCGTGTTTGGTCGATTTGGCGGCGGTTTTTTTGTGGCCGGTGAAAATTGCAGATCACCTCACCGCAGTAACATCGCAGCTAGATGGATGGAGATATCCGGTTCTCCGTGTGAGTGACGAATTTGCCCTGGCAACGAAGTCGAGTTGGTAACTCTTCCTACTCCTGACTTTTAGACATGAATTAAGGTTCCTAATTTTTTGATGTGAAGCATGTTTTCTATTGAAAATTTCCTCATTTCGAAACCTCTCCATGATGTATGTACCTCCTCCCTTTTTACTTTCGTCAATTTAGGTCCTTTATCTGGCCTGAGTTTTCCATTTTTTAAACTGTTTTTCATCTATTTCTAGGACCAGAGGTGCAGGCAGTGGCGCTTTCTCACGCCTTTCATCAGTTAAACTAATGGTTGAACATTCTATAGAAACTTCTATATTTTCCACAACTTCGCCCCTTCCGACAATCTAATGTAAGGGAAGGGATAATGCTCCACAAACCTGTCTGTCGGTGAAATCTCCGAAATACTAACCAGGGATTCCTCGAACAACTCCGTTTATCATGAAAAACCATTTACTGTCTTATTTGACGAGTAAGAAGGCGTAAGGGGTTGATCAAGTGATCGGGAATTTCGACTCAAAGCATCTAAAGCTAAAGCGTCCGAAAACAGCTACATTCTTGAGCGATGGTCCGCTCGGCCGAGGCAAAATTCTCCATCTTCAGAGAAGGTACAGCATCGTAATGCGTGTAATGGTGGTGTCAGTACGACCCCCCCCCCTCTCGAGGGAGGGTCTCGGTACGACCCCCCCTTCCCCAACACCTACCTACCAATTTCCCCACATTTTCCAGTTTTTCACCCAAAAATTTTCCGTCGAGCGGTTGAAGGGGGCGGGAGATGTAGTACATATGAAACAGGAAAAAACCTCGAAAAGTTGACAAACTGGGAAAATTTTTTTCCCAGCGCGTCAAATTTCTCTCAAAGCTTCACACGACGACCTCCCCCCTTCCCAGCCTAAAAGTGCGTTTCCCTCCTATGTGTTTCACACAACGGCTGTACCCTCTCTTCAGACTCTCCAATGTTTTTTTTGCACTTTGTGACACTTTTTCTACCTTGTGGGGTAACTTCGGGAGAAGTTCGCTTCTATCACATGAAATTATAGGGTGGTGTAATGCGTAATGATCCCGACCCATTTTTCGTTGAGTGCTGGGTTTCTCTCTAATCAGAACGGCTTTCTCTAGAGCACTCCTTTTTGTCCAAGAAGTCCAAGAGTATAAGTATATCAGCTCTAACACTCGCTTGATTGATCACGCACATGAGAGACTATTCCCAGAAGTCGAATATGCCAGAGTGTTGATTCATACTTGTTCCTATTACCTTTTCATCCATTCCCGGATCTCCGCCGAATTTTTCCAGCATAAGGGAATGAAGAATGCAATGAGTCAGTTGATCGGTTGATCGGTGGTTTTGGAATCCGTGGCCGCAGGGCCACGCAAAGAACAACAAGTGTTGTAGTCGTTTACACTTTTTCGCCACCTCATTTCTTACGCGATCATCACGTCCGTTGTGATAGGCACGTCCTGCATCTGCACCCTCCACGTCTTGTCATCCATCGCTTCCTCCTCATCTATCTCATTTTCTGCGTACATTAGCTCCCACATTCTTATGCACTTTTTCTGAAGAAATTCGAATTTCATCTGTTTCCTATCTAAGAATAATAACCTAATGAAATGGCAGCTGCAAGTGGTTCGGAACCTCTGTGTTGACCACTGGGAGCTTAGTTGTGGAAGGATAAAGGACAAAAAGGATATTACCTGCAGTTCGTCGGCTTCGAGATGCTTCACACATTCTACTTCCATTTAATGCAATATAATAGTATTTGAGAGCTGTTTGGCTATACAAAGAGTCAGCCGATGTACAAGTCAGTACTTCCCCCATCTTTAAATGCTTCGCCAATTGACCGTGTGATTTATTGAGTTATCGAAGACCTTGAATCGGTTGGGAGCTCCTTCGAGGATGGACGACTCGATAAGCTCAGTTGATGCAGTCTACTACGTGATTGGACCCCTTGAACTTGAACGAAGTAAACGGCGCCACTTGTCACTATACTATCTTCTCTTTTGTCTTAAGGTATTAGTTTGAGACCCCTCTTTTTCAAGGATGTTTAGGTGCGAAGGCTATGCGTTTCTGACAGCACTTAGCTTTCTAGGTAGAGAAGACAAGAGCCGGGATGTGAAGGACTTTTGAGAGCTTACGTTCTCCATATACCTGAAAAAGGCTAAACTGAAACGGGATGGCCCAATCTTCCCATCTCTGCAATTCACCAGAGAACAGAAAGATATTTCTCTTCAACACTTACCAGTTTAGTAACCTATTCCATCTGAATCGAAGTGCTTCATTGTTGC